GAAACAAGGAATCGGAATCAGAATCGTTCAAATTCAAACGATACCCAACCCTAGTCATACTAGATCTTGAGATACTGTCTTGACATAATAACTATGTTTATACAAACCTTGTCTGAATTTTGGCAATCTTTCAAATTATCATGAACTGTAGCTTTAAGAAACCAAAACAGGACTGTTTAGTTTGAGAAATCTTTACTATGGGAGTTAAGTTAGAGTGAATCTGCCTAAATTTCTTCCCTAACAAAATTACAAACTCCATCTTTATGGAACTTACTGCTCTGGGGTGCGTTTCCCGTACAACTATGTACAGTAGTTCGCTGCTTCACTACCATAGTACGATGCATCGTTGGAGAAATCAACTAGCTAATCACGACTGTTTCCCGAAACCCATTGTCGCAAAGTTTCGTTCAACCACGTTGGTTTCGCACGTTCTGTAGTAGTAACTACTTTTAATGAAACTGTTTGATGTCAAATTAACGCTAGAATGTTTATATATAAATTAGACACATGTCATCTGAGGACTATTTCTAATCGTTCTCACTATTTGCTTTATTACCAGATTCAATATTTGGCTCGTTCTTACATAGTAGAGCACGTTCGCACATGCACACACTTTAAAGGGTAACTAAACCCCTGGTCAGAGCCTGACTCCACCCACGGCAATATTTGAAAATGCTGAAAAAGTGGGCTGACCCCAGCGGAGATAGAGGGGACGAAATAGATGCTAAAACACTTCTGATCGTTTTCAATACTCACAATTCCAATTCCTGACTCCTTACAGTGGTTTTGACGACACAAGATGGTTTTTATACAGCCAAGGGCGTAGCTCGCGTGGTGAGCTGAAACCTGCGTACGTCACGAAGTGCGGAACATCCAATAGGAAAATTCAACTGCAGTAGCCACCGTTCAACCTGAAGAGGGCAGCACTAAGACGTTTTTACACCATTTATTGTAAAAAATAGAACACTTTATAAACAAATGTCAAAAAAGTTACTCGAATCAATGACTGGTATTAATAAAGATCCATTCTTACAGATCATTAACTAAAAAAAGTTGGTTTAGTGTTTAGTTACTCTTTAAACGCGGTACTTTAAATCTTTTGACAAACTAAAAGACGTAAATGACATTTGTATGTATTCTAAATAAAAGGCACCGGTTGTACTGAACGTCAGCTTGCTTATTTTGCTCAAGATAAGGATTTATTACGCCCAAATGTGATGCAAAATAGAAACGATGCCTCTAACCACAGGTCGAGAGCTGTCGTTCAAACCACACAACTTTGCGATGCTGTTTGCGAATATTTGTTGGAACGACTGTTTCGGTAAACACCGACACGTTGAACTATGCTGATAATGACGGAACTTGCGAACATAGTTGGCTAACGATGCTTTCGGGAAATGCCCCCCTGGCCTGGTTTACATCCATTGTCCATGAAGTCGAGGTTGATGCGTTAACCACAAAGCTACCGTTTGAATGCTGATGCATCATCATCTTATATGCTTTTAAAACCTCATTGATGTAGCTTAATATGTTTCTACTGCAATGTTTTAAGGTTTCATTTTTTTTTTTCAATTTAATTTCAGTATTGTGATTAATTAATTAATTTAACTACGTTTATCTTGAATTAATCTGGTATCAACTTTCAATCGCTCTGAATGAGCCGCCGCGCAGCTGCAGATTTCACAAAAACGGACACTTTTCAAAGTCTATGATTGTAGCGCCTCTTAGCGGCAAAAGGCAGCAAATACACCCCAAATTTTACCGCCATGGCAGAACTGCGGCAGTAAAAAACTCATTCTGGTTGACTATCTACTGTAAGTATTCTGATGGTATTATTTCGATAAGTAGTCAACATTGGCACTACCCAGCAAACACGAAACCCGAATGGTCCCATGAGGTTATTTTTTGGTGAACCAAAAAAGAACGTTATGGGAACGTTCCATGTAGGTTATTTTTAGGTTCCATTTTTATAACGTAAGGAGAAAGTTCTGGGAACGTTCTGGCAACCAAAAACGAACGTTCCCAGAACCTAAATTTGTTTGCTGGGTAGCAGGGATGAACTCTATCAAACTGTATTATTCAATCATTGCTGATTAAAACACTAATGAAACAACCACTTTGACCATTTTAAAACCTTGAAGTCTGTATCTTCGAGCCTCTCTCTATGGTGTGTCTATATATAGACAAACCCATCCAGAAATACCTAAGAATTAAACATTTTCTTGAACATCTGGCCATTGTGCAACTATGATTGTGTTCAGAGCTGGAATGACTGAAAGCTCCTAGACATTGTGTCGGCCCACATCTGGTACTCATGGAATGTAAGGACCTAACCCAGAGTCATTGTTTTGTTGCACTAAATGTTTCTCTACTGTTGAAATCTCTGATCACAATCCCACTTTCGCTCGATTTGAAAAAGACATGTATAAGTTTGTCTTGGTTTTTCAGGTGGTATTATTGATGCAAGACTAGGAGGAATGCTTTGACATTTGTTCCGTTGCCCTGGCTTATGTGTAAGGTACTAATTAGCAGAGAAAACACTGTCAAACTGCCATATGGTAGGAGAGAAGTAGCAGCTTGCCAACTACAGCTACAGTCCCGAACATTTGCCACCGCAAACGTTTGTCAAGACAGCTTGTGTCAGGTATTATATGTAAATGTAGGCTAAATTAATCAGTGCGCTCGCTGTTGTTTAGATTTTTTTCTTCTTCTCAGATTGTCTCGCGCACGTCCCCAAGGTTATCGTTGCACAGTTTTAGTGCCATTTTTCTGCTAGGTTAGCAGTTATTATCCAAGTCAGTTTATAAAGCACGTTCCATGTTACTGAATTGATCCTCAAGTGGAGACAGTTGAATGTGAATTAACAAGATAAACACATGCACAAGTGTAAATGTGACGCTGAAACAAAATGCTGTCATGGGGGTTATGCAGTGCAATTGAGAGGTTAAGTAGCGGCAAACACTTGCAGAAAGGGTGAAACAATAGGGAGCAAAGAGTTTCATCGCACTAATGGGACTTCAGGGGAGAGGAGAGATCTAGATGTATCATGATGCTCATTAAGACTATAGCAAACAAAGCTGCTCCGCTCGGATGTCCTCATAATAATCTCAAGAGACTGAGGATCTGAGGTTCTCTCAGAGAGTTCTCGCTCTATGTTTAAGGCTGTTTTGTTCCATTAGTGGTATTTGACGTCACACTGGAATCAATTGGTCGAGCCGTTCTGTCAGAAGCTGTAAGATTGACGATGGACGAGGAGGCCGAGAGGCAAACAGAAATGATTTTTGAGAGGAGAGATAAAGATCAAACCAACCTTTAGAGGGATGAAGGGGGAACGGCAGAGGAGAGCCCGTAGTGAAATGATTTTCCATCAAAGTTTCATGGTTTTCTTGGAGAGCTGAAGCATGCTGTGCTTGGTTGTGCCAAGTGTTCAGAAGCTTGTCTGGAAACAGCACAGCAGAATCTCTTAAAGAAAGGTCACTTTACTGTTAAAAGGGTGATCCAAAACGCCACTACTGCCATCAACTCCATTCCAATGGACATTTTTATTCTTCATTTTATAAACTATTCAGTTTCAGTAACACTTTATTATTGTACACACATTATAATGTCAATTTATTCTACTAACCCTAACCCACCTCCAACAGTCTACTCTAATTAGTTGACATACTGTAGGTGCACCAATTTCATTTTTTATGCCATACACCAATTTTTCTGTTTGTAAATAATCTGAAACATACAATATAGACTATTTTAAAAATGATAATTGGCATAGAAATGTACAGTGACAATAATTGCATATTATAAAATACAATACTATTATTCAGATTTTTTTTTTTCAATTTGTATCTGAATATGGCACCAGAAATCACACACAGAACGGAATAAAATGTTAATGAATGGTTAGGCAAATTCTTCAAATAAATTAAATTAATCTCATCCATTATATTGAATACTAATTTCCACACTCTAAATAATGCTGGGTTGTTTAAACCCAAATTTGGGTAAAATATGGACAAACCCAAATCTTGGGTTAAAAATGTAATTTCAAATTTTAACCCAACTTCAACTTTCATTTTCAACTGTAAATTTTTAATTGCATTTTTGGGTTTGTACATATGTGACCCACATTTGGGTTGAAACAACCCAGCATTTTATCATGCTTTGTGAATCTAAAAAGATTACTAAAAGTAGCATATATCGAATTGAAGTCAGGTACAGTACACTGTAACAATAAATATGCTTTATCTAATCAAAAAAAAAATTGTGGCAACAGATTGCAATATTATTAATTAAATGTAACAAATTAGAATTGAGTAATAATTAATCAAATTAATTCCTTAAAAGTTATGAGTAAAACTTACCAAAAAAAACATAAATTTAAGTCACCATTATGGTGATCGGTGTTTGTTTTAGGTTTGTTTTAAAATTACGTTTTTTCTCCTTCAGTGATTCTGCATGTTAACATCAGGTGTCTTCAATATTGGCAATATAAAATAAAGAGTTCTTAATTAATCTTTGACGTCTGTCTGTTAGTGAGATATTTTTTGGTGTAAACTTTACTCATTTGAAATGGTTAACTTTTAAGGAATTAATTTGATTAATTATTACTCAATTCTTTGTTAAATTTAATTAATAATATTGCTTGTAATCTGTTGCCACAATTCTATTGGTTAGATAAAACATATTCATTTTTACAGTGTACTATTTGCACATTGGAAAAGGTGTCACAGTATGCACCTGAGAGGCTGGTTTATTTATGGTTGGGGTTAGACGCTCAGAAATATCTCCGTATATTGCAGCTAAAGCCAATATCATGTTTTGTGTCATTCAAACGCATGATAATACCCCAAAATGGCCCAGGCTTGACGCATGATCCTCCAGACTGAGGTGAGAATGTCACCAGAGTGACGGTTTGGTGGTGCTGGATAAACGTTGCTAGAGTGACGTTTCTCATATGAGACTTTTATTACAAAAATATTGTTGTGTTCAAATTTATTGTTCACATCAAAAGCTTAGAATAAAGAAACCTACCTTTAAGGTCTGTGACAATATTACAGTGCAAAGGAGAATTCAGACGGAGAGGGGCTCTGAAATGCTTACCAACTTTGAAAAGATGTCCCTGAGAGCACAATAAAAAATCTTATCAGTATGTGCATCAGGCCAGAGCTCAGTTGTAAATCAAGACATCGGCATGAGCTGGCAATGACCTTCCACAGTTATCTGCAAAGGCATACGCCGTGAGATTGCAACTCAAATATTGCTGTCTGTGTGCCTGCTATAGTCAGCCTGGCAGGTATGCCCTATCTGTGCCACCACCATTGGGCAGAATGCAGCAAAAACCTTCCGCTCAAATCAGCAGCTGAGATGGGCAAAGGACAGAAGCAAGATCCCCTGCTTAGAAGAATCAAATCTGACAACTAGGGGGGGGGGAAAAGAATAACAGGGCAGTGAATGAATCACATGAACCCATAGCTAGACCATGTACTGTTTATGGTGACATTAACTTTATGGCGTTAAAGTCATATTTTTGATCTGATTTGCATGCTAAAATACTAATAATGCTGCTCCTGCCCTATATGATAGTGTAATGTTACAGGCAGACTCAGGACAACATTATTGACATGCATGCAAACACACAACCAATATACTACAAATATATCATTGAAGAATTATATAATTCAATTTAAGCACTAAACTTCTGGCACTACACTTGCATGAGCATCGCAACAAAAGACACAATGTGAAATATAGCAAGTTTCTAGTTCAAAAGTTTTTTTTTTGTCTTTTATGTTCACCAAGGTCGGATTATTTGATAAAAATCAAGTAAAAACAGCACTATTGTGAAATATTATTAGAATTTAAAAGAACTGATTCATGTGAAGGCATAAATCTGAATTTTCAGCAGCTGTAATAACGATAATTATTACACTGTAAAAAACATTTTCAAGATTTGTTATCACAACATATTTTCTTTTGTCAAATCAACTTTAGAATCATTTATTTAGTTGAGATAACTTATTATTTTGAGTTTCTGATGGTTAAATTAATTTACTTCATTGTATTAACTCACTTTTTCCAGTTCAATCAACTTAAAATTTTAAGGAAACCCAGGTTACTTACTTTTTTAAGTTAAACCAACAATATTTTTTTACAGTGTGGTAATCAGAACACTTTTTCTTTTGTCAAATCAACTTAAATCATTTATTTAGTTCAGATAACATATAATTTTGAGTTTCTGATGGTTAAATGAATCTCCTTCATTGTATTAACTCACGTTTTCCAGTTCAATCAACTTAAAATTTTAAGTCAACCAGGTTACTTACTTTTTAAGTTAAACAGTGTATTAACAGCCTATATATCAAGCATGAAACACTTATTATTATCATGTTGAAAACAGTTGTGCTGCTTAATATCACGTGATCATCTTTTTTTAGGAAAAAAAACAAACATATTTTCTTTTAATAATTTAAAACTCCAGCGTCAAGTGCCCAACTAAAGCACACACTGATCAGCATAATGGTGACTTCAAATTAAACGGTGTATTGTTATCCCAACGCTCTTTATGTGTTTACAACTTACACTTTTGAGTAAACCATGCTTGAGAAATGCAAGGCAAGTTTCCACACACTGTAAAACTATTGCACATTGAGGCAAGTCTTTGCATTAGATTTGAGTATTTCAAACTCTACTAATTTGTGTTTTACCAATTAGACTACATGTTTTCAATGTGAGTTTTCAACTCAAATACTTTGTGAAGTTGACACATAACTCAAAGTAACTTATGTAAATACACATTAGTGTAACAGTAAATAGTGCTTGTAACATATTTTTCAATATAAATGGCAATTCTTTATGTATTATTCAATATATTGCCGCAATACATTATTCCACATGGTTTTCAGTATATTTCATATTTATTTATTGATATATGGGAATATATTTTCTTACTGTAAGGATATATCCTTTGAGTCTGCCAAGCCTGTATACTCACAGACTGCTTTTTCTTGCATACTTAGAGAACAGATTTGCAGATTGTAAGTATGACCTAAATGAACACAATTAAAACTATGTGAAGGTCTTTTTTTTTTTCAGAGTTACTGACTTTTTGCACCATATCAGTGAGTAAAAATAGATTTGCTCTTTTAATTCATTTCCGATGGAGCTCAGAATGTGTATTAAAAGCACACGTATAAAAAGAACAGCCATTTTAAGAGAGAGAGAAAAAAAAAACGTCCTCATTTCCACTCTATGTATAATAGAAGATATAACAGGTGAAAAATGTAATAGTGTCGGAGGTCTGGTTTTATCAGGAGATTATAAAACAAGGTGGCTAATAAGCCCAATATCCCTCAAATGTAAAACATAATAATAAATTAAGGCAAAATGAGCTTTGTGGTCAAATTATTAAATATTTCATGCAAAAATTGTATGAGCTCTTACATGGTTATCATTTAATAATGCGCTCAAAATCAGCTCTTTCCCAAGGAGACTCACTTGTATAACTTTACATTGTAATTTAGAGTGACTTACAATTGATTTAACCTGAGGTCAGTCGTTCTGACATTAGAGACTCTGCAGTGAAATTGCTCATTTAATGATTAACACATTAAAGGAATGGGTGACCAAAAATGACCATTTTATCTTCATTTACTCGCCATTATTATACTGACCTTGTATTACTTTCTTTATTTAGAGAAACTCAAATTGGGCAGAATGCATGAGCTGCTCTATACATCAAAAGCGAATGGTTATTTACACGGCTAAACACCGCTGGTTCAACCGTGTTAATTACAGTCTCCTCACACTATTAAATGACCTCAGAAGAGTTGGAAAATAGCACACGAGTCATGTTAACTACTTTTATGATGATTTGATCTGCTTTTTGTCCTTTTTGGTATGGAAAACAGTTTTGACATTTTGGGTTGGAACGTCGTGGGGGCAAGTAAATAATGGTAACATTTCTGGGTGAACTTTTCCTTCAAGATTGATGCTTTTCTCACACTCATTCATTCAAATCGATTTAAATAGAGACCACAGAGTTGGTGGAGCGGACTACACAGGGATTCTGTTTTGGTCAGCGAGTCTTTGAGGGTGTTTGGCTGTTTTTGGATCATGGCCCAGGTGCTTCCTGAAAGATGAAGAGATGCCTTAATAATTTATTATGATTTGTGTGCTTGTGTGTGTGTATGTGTGCTTGCACCTGCATCATCATGCCATGAGCTATGGAACATTCTTCCTTCGTTTCTGCCCACCTGCATGTGTGTGTGTGTGTGAGAGAGAGAGAGAGAGAGAGAGAGAGAGAGAGAGAGAGAGAGAGAGAGAGAGAGAGAGAGAGAGAGAGAGAGAGAGAGAGAGAGAGAGAGAGAGAGAGAGAGAGAGAGAGAGAGAGAGAGAGAGAGAGAGAGAGAGAGAGAGAGATTTGCATGGTCCAAGTGGGCTTGTTTGGCACCAGCAGCGAGTGAAAAGAATTGATTTTGTGTTAGCTGTCCTGCAAGCCAACTCAATATAGATTAAGTCTCCTCTCTTTCATCCCCTTCATGCCTGACAATCCGAGTTATCGAATTCACATAAAATATGTTCTCCTGCATTTCATTTTACAATTATACAAGATGGACAGAAATAATTCAATAGATTTCCTCAGAAGCTACTTTCTACAGGTGTCTATCTATCTATCTATCTATCTATCTATCTATCTATCTATCTATCTATCTATCTATCTATCTATCTATCTATCTATCTATCTATCTATCTATCTATCTATCTATCAAAAAAAAAAAATAACAAAACAAAATAATAAAAAATAACAAAAAAAAAATTAAAAAAAAATTAAAAAAAATTAAAAAATAATAATAAAATAAAACAAAATAAACAAAACAAATAAAATTAAATAAAACAAAATAATATAATAAAATTAAAACGAAATAAAAGTAAAACAAATAAAAAAAATAAAAAATAAAAACGAAATAAATGAAACAAAAATAAAACAAAGCAAAATAATATAATAAAAAAATAATAAAAAAATAATAAATAAAAATAAACAAAACAAAACAAAAAATAAAACAAAACAAACAAAACAAAATAAAATAAAAACAAAATAAATAAAACAAAAATAAAACAAAGCAAAAAAATATAATATAATAAAATAAAAAATAAATAAAATATAAAAACAAAAACAAAACAAAACAAACAAAACGAAACAAAAAAATAAAACAAAATAAACAAAATAAAATAAAACAAAATAAAAAATAAAACAAAATAAACAAAATAAAAAAAACAAAATAAACAAAACAAAATAAAACAAAATAATATAATAAAATAAAAAAAATAAAAATAAAACAAAATAAACAAAACAAAATAAAACAAAATAAACAAAACAAACAAAACAAAATAAACAAAATAAAATTAAAATAAAACAAAATAAACAAAACAAAACAAAATAATAAAACAAAACAAAACAAGCTCCTGCTTGTTTCAGCACGCTCATCTGCTTTTTCCGCAGGTTGAAGAGCCCTAGGTGTCTTCTGTTAATGAGGAAAAGCGCTCTGCTTTAGCAGCTGCCTGTAATCAGATGCTAATTGGATTGAGGAGTGGCGGTCCATCCTCCACACAGCCGAACTGGAGCTGTGAGCTCAGTGTTTTGGTGTGAGGATGAGGATAATCCTGTGTGTGCGCACGCGAGTCAAACAGGGCAGGCCAGCAGGGCGGCCCGTGTCCCCACTGGGGCCGCATGTTGGCTTCAATGTGCACTAGAATGGCTTCATAAATATGTTTGCCTGCAGCTGCACAGGGCATCGGGCTTCTTACTCTGCCAATATTTCCTCCACACTTCCTTTTATCCATTCTGTTTTTCATCAAGGTGTTGTGGGACAGAAGATCCAGCTAACCTTGCTCCAGAGCCCACACACAGCACAAGACTTTTCATAATACTCGCATCGCTGATGCCTCCAGCGTTTTGATGTTATCATTTAGCTGATTTAAATATTATGTAATATGTTTAATAATTGTTTTTAACTTGTTTGCATATGCATTTAATTCATTATTACACTAATGCACACATACCATTAAAACCCCCCCACCCAAATGTGAAACAGTAATGTCAAACATTTTTACATACAATAA